TACTCCAATTAAAATGATTTGTGTATTAATTCAATAAACATCTAGAAGAAGGTCAGTTTCAGTCAATATAATAATATATGATTAGTGTGTCCCATCTAATTATAGAATTTCTCAGTTCATTTGTGTGTCTACCATGGATGGTGAATCACACTCTTGCAGCTGTACATGGGCATTAAGTACACACTTTTTCTGAATGCCCTTTCCGACCGCAAGTCTCTACTTATAATTCAGATTGTTGAACCTTCCTTTGCTTATCTGCCGCAGACCGGTCCCAGATGAACATCCCTATATATACAGAAACTCTATGGGGGAGCTATTACGACTCCTTCCTCTAAGGGCTTCCAGACTTGTAAATTTTTATGACCCTTTTTGGATAAAGGCTACGTCTAATTGAGTCTTTTTACCATTTCTTGAGGAGAGTGAGAATAAATCAAAGCTAATTTTCATGAAAAATTAACTAAATTGGGGATTTGTAATATTAAATAAGATTTAAAGAATATCAGGTTCAATCATATTGTGAATTGACTTTTAATTAATGATTTACAATTAATTTGATGGTTTGAATATTCCATACATTTAATAACTAAATGGATAGTACTGGAGAATAGAATTTCATTAAACATTTAAAAAAACCCTGAACATCCTTCAATAAAAGGATCTGTTATTTATTATAGATAGAGCATTTCGGAAGAAGGTATACTAGAGAGATAATGTTTTTCAATATCATAAAATATAGGAAGTTTTAGTTTCTATTATTTGCAATTTTTGGCCAGAAACACATTTAAGATGTATAGTAAAGTAAATTGTGGATTGATTTAACAAAAGAAATAAAAAAATTTTTCAAAAGCAGAAGAGTTGTAAGTATTGGTAATACATTTTTAGATGTTTTTGGTAGATAATTGAAATTTATGGTTAATGTGGATAGAAATAAGATTGAAATAATGAAAATGGTACACATAAAGCAAATAATTGTTCACTTTAGATTTGATATGGATTAAAAAAATAATATAAATATTGATTAATTTATCAAATATTATTATAATTTCAGAGATTATAAAGAATTTTCATAAGAGTATCAACTTATCCCAAAACACATATGAGGATTGTTCAATCAAAAGGTAACAGACTATTTAATACTTTCATTATTCTTATTATAATACTTTAAAAAGACTGGTGATAAGATTTACGAAATAATATAGGCTGGCAAGAATTAAATCTAAATAACCTTATATTTTACCTTTTAAAAGAGTGGTACAAATATTATAGTGTATGATTAGTTGACATAAAAATAATTTTAAGATTGTTGAATATTATCGCTAGGGTATTATTTAATTGATTAAACTTCTGACTCTTTCTTGTATGAGAATTTTTTTTATTCTTCTCATACCTTCTTAACCAAAGGTATATGAGAGATTTTGTAGTAGATATTAAAATCGATACCCGTCTCTACGTAAGCTACAAAAGATTTTGATATTATGATAAATTTCATGAGGTAAAATAGGTTTTAAACTAAAATTTAATGATTTTTTTATAAAAGTGCTTTTGTTAAAGATAGAAAAAATTATGAAAATTTGTTGATTCAAATTTAGAAAATTGGACGATATTAAGAGATATTTTATTAAGATCCAGAAATATTGAATAGATCAACTTATTTTTAAGTAGAATATGGCAAAACAGCACTCTATTAGTGAATCTTGAATGTAGATAGCTAAATTTGTTTATAAACTCAATTATAATTCTTTGATGATGTTGTAATTGATCTAATAAAATTAATTTGATCAACAATAAAGAAAATGAACTTCTGAGAATTGATTATTCAATAAAAAATTGAGTTGGTTAGTTATTCAATTTAAAAGTCAATTAATTATGAATGATTTAGATAGTTCAAATATATATTGGTACCAAATTTAGTAATTTATTCATTTAATAGATTTCTTTAATATATTTATTATCGAAAATACCTTCTTAATTATTAATATTATTTTATTTTTAGATTTAAATGGACATCTTTAGATGTAAATATCTTACCCATGAAAATGAAGAAATAATTGGATTTTGCTTGAATCAGAATTGCTAAAATGCAACACCATATTGTTATGAATATTTAACTACTACTCATTAAGATCATTTGAATGATTGTATTCGATTCCCTAAAATTGATTAATATATGAATGAATTCATACAAGTTTACAATCAATCAACCAAATAATTCAAAAAAACCTACTTTAGTGTTGTTTTGAATAAATTTAAAAAATAATGGAACAAAATAATATAAACTAATTAGAAAAGATGATACTACAACTTTAAAACAAAGACTTTTTGGCTTTTAAGTCATAAATAAACTAAATAAAACAATTTTACTCAAAAGAAAAAGAATATTAGATATGTATTAAAAAGAGTAATTAATAACATAATTTAATAATATTCTTGATACAATTAAAAGTATGGTCACAGATTTAACTAATAGTGAGGTTAAAATTAGTTATGTCGAATAAAATGATATTAAAATTAAAAAAATTAATGATGAGAGTGAAGATAAAAACTAGTAGAACATAAAAAACTCTGAAAGATTATTTAATGAAGGTATAATGAATTTAATTATAATTTAGGATTAGTATTAAAGAATTTGAATAAATTTTAAGAAACAATTGAATGTTATGAAAAGGCTATTTCTATTAATCATTTAAATGATAACGCATGGAATAATAAAGGTAATTAATTGTTAAATACTTTTATTTAGGAAATTCATTAAAGTATTTGATTAAATATTAAGAAGCAATTGAATGTTATGAAAAAGCTATTTTTATCAACCCTAAAAATGAGAACGCGTGGAATAATAAAGGTTATTTATTTTTAAATATCATTACTTAGGAAATGCATTATACAATTTGAATAAATACTAAGAAGCAATTGAATGTTACGATAAAGCTATTTCTATTAATTCTAAACATGATAATACATGGAGTAATAAAGATAAATTATATTAAAATTCAGGTTTTGCACTAATTCTCTTCATTAACAACATGTTATTCCACAATTTTGAGAAATATGTGGAAGCTATTTCATGTTATAATGTAGCACTTTCTATTAAAATTAATCCTTTAAGATTATAACTAAAAGGTAAATAAGTCTTTTCTTTACATATAGCTGATTCACTAAAGCGGTTGAATAAAAATTTTGAAATATTTTAGATATGGAAGAAATCAGAGGCTAAAAAATTTTATGAGGCTGCTTTAGAACAAGGATTAAATGATAAAAATTACATAAAGAAAAAATTATCAAAGTTATGAAGCATTATCATATTATAAATAGAAAATCAAATATTTTTTATTCAACTTATCTTTTTCTTTTATATAGCAAGAGATATTTTTGGATATTTACCTTTTTCTAAAAACCTTCAATATAACTTTAATAAAAAATTATTAAAAAAAAAAAAAATAATTACATTAAGATATTTTTTAAGGCTTATCTAAATATAAATTTAATTCTGAGACTAGCTTTCATAAAATTGATTAATAGTATTAAAAAGATTATGCTAATAAAATTTTGCAATAGTTCTTGAAATTTTATTTTATCGTTTATGAATAAATACAATTTA